GGGGGGGGGGGGGGGGGGGGGAGTATCTAAGGTGATGCGAGTGGGTTCGAAAATGGATGCATGGGGATGAGTCAAAGGTTAATTTCCTTTTTTTTTTTAGAGTTCCGCTGGTGTCCGTTACCCGCATATCTCGGAATGATCTCCGGATTTCTGAACCCCCCGCACAATCACGAGGCGACTTCGATTCAATTGGCAGACATGGTCTAGTGCCATGTCTAGTGTCTGGCGACTGGGCACAAAAAAAAAAGGATTGATCCAATCGATTTCAGTGGTTGTGCGAGTCCAGGCCAAGAATTTAACATGCAAAAAGGTCGTGCCCGGGATCGAACCGGGATTACAGGAATCAGAATCCTGGGTGCTAACCATTACACTACACAACCAATTGTCGAGGAACGGCACAATGTTTGCGTTTGTGGATCCAATCATATTCTTGGAGCCCTGTAGTGCAAGCTAGTTTCGACACTTTGACAGGAGTAAATGGCAAAGCATTCGAGACGAACCACATGTGTATGGTTGGGCAACACTAGGCTCCGAATAGACCTCCAGGCGCCCGGCTTTTAGTCGTGTCGATCATCAACCCTAGTGGCGTCTCTATTTCGCTCAATCGAAGGAATGGCAATATGAGATGGATACTCTCCAGTCCAGATAGGTGAAGATTTCTGGAATCGGGAGATGACTGAGGGCTTGGTATCCAGCTTTGCTTGTTGTGGTTGGTGTAGCCAGCGCTCGAGGGCTTGGACTGACGGGCTGCGACCACAGGACATGCTTCTCTTGTATATTGGATTGGCGAGGATTGCGGTATCCATGTGGTAGGCTCACTATGTTGTTCTAGCAACCTATTGTTCTGTGAGCTCCCTGGTTCGCAGGTATGGGTGATGCTGATTCGAGGGTGGGGGGATGGTTGAGAATGGCTCCGTGCTGGTCTCGCCAGGCTGGCCCACGGTCAACGGCTCGCATTTGTGTCTGGCAGGATTGGATGATAGAAGTCATGGGGCATAGTGCTGGGCTCTCCGATATATATAACCTGCACCCTGGTGTACGTGTCAAGCTTCCCAGGTGAGTGCCCGTGTGTGTCATGAGGCGATGTGCACATTGTGTCCGGTCTCGAACGGTGGTGCGGGTTGGTGTCTGTATGACATGGTTGTGCATGTTGCCTTCTACTCCTAGTAGAGTACAGGCAACTGATTGCTGCTGGACGGTGCTGACCACGGCTGCATGATATAGGCGACGACCGGTATGAGGATCTCACTCGAGCGACGAGCAGTAGGTTATCGCATGCTGAGTGGTGCCTTCCCAGTGGCATGGATGGCTACGGGTGCCATACCGCTTAAGTCGACGATTCAGTTGTTGATGACTATGACTTACCGCTTTGTCCATGCTGCTTTTATATGGTGATGCTTGCGAGGGTTGTACGCCTCGCATCGAATCTGTGTTGGTCACTATTCATTTGAATCTCTGCCCGGTGTCTTCCAGGTTGTTTGGCAAGCTGCTCTATACTCGAGGGAAGCCGCATCAGTTGCTGTTTCCGGATCCATGTGCCCTTCAAATGCATACAGCAGTCATCTCCGTCCCTCCGAAACAGTATGATTCTGGGCTGCAGGCCGAAAACTCCCAGACAGTTCATCCTGTCGTTGTCTTCCATGTCTGTGCGAGTCAGTGTCGTGGAAGCGTCACACCGGCCATGTCGTGCCGACCTGAAACACGTTTCCTGCACTCGGTGACACTGGGTCTGGCCAGGTGATAGGTTCCCGTCCGGATCCCATCCGGGTGGTAGCCATGGATGTACAGGGTAGCATCACACGTTCACCGATGACATCGATGCCGAGTGATAGCCCGCTGGAAATATATCCCCATTCGGCCTTCGACAGAAAACCCGCCAAGTAGTGAGGAATGCTGCATTCCCGCCAAGATAGGAAGAATGTTGACACCGTCAGTACCTCGGGTATGAAGTGTAAAATGAGGTCATACGTCCGTTGTTCAGAAGGCATCGTCATCCCGTGGTCCATGTATACTTTGAGCTCACTCTCTAATAGAATCTCGGGCAGGCACATATATGCATACCCAAAGAAGCAAAACAACTATCAGGTTGTGTAGTGTAATGGTTAGCACCCAGGATTCTGATTCCTGTAATCCCGGTTCGATCCCGGGCACGACCTTTTTTGCGTGCCTGATATATATATATTTTTTTCTTTGGCGGTTTCTAGGTCGGCTTGTGTAACGTCACACCCACAACGTTCCAGCCAAGCATCGTGACAATAGCATCATCTCAAACCGTCTTCCTGTACTGTATCACCACCCCTAAGGCTGGGTGATGCCGACTACCGAGATCAACTCGATGCAATGTTTGCCCCGTGGTAGCACCATAATAAACACACTAGCAACAGCAACATCATCCTTGCGTCCTGACTCTTCCATACAAGACTGACTGACATCAAAATGGAAGTATCACCTAGGAAGTACATACATAGTAGCATATCCCCATGACCGCAGCCCGCGGCCTCCGGTCTCCGCAGCAGTTACTAGGTAGTCTAGTATACACACACCCAGTGCTAAGTATAGCCTGCGTGGCAAGCAGTCTGGCACACAGCCACCTAACTCAGACAACGCTTTCAGTAGTGTCGGACCTGCAATCATCGTTCGCTGCAATAAGACAATCTAAAAATGATGATAACATGGTCTAGCAATCTATGTGTATACAAAGTCACGAAACCATCTCAACTATTCCGAGCGTTATCCCGGCTATTTTTGGACGGTGTCTTATCCATGGTGGAGACAGGCAAAAAAAAAAAAAAAAGGCGACTAAGGCAGCAGCGGCAAGCGAGCTGGTTTAGGTTGGTCTACTTACTGCAGCCGGGTACGTAAAGAGTAGAGACAAACTGCGGGTTCGTGGATGCTTGCTGTTACTCGTAGTTTACCAGTACCACGCTGACCGCACTACCGGTATCCACGACCGGATTACAGTTACAGGGTTGGTCAGGTCATGGGATTCGATCAACGGGCGTTGTTGGGTACCAAGAACTTGATGATTCTACAACGTTCTCTCTGCCGGCTCCTTGGCTAGTGTACCCGACATGGGTCCGGGCGGTTGAGTCTCGGTTGGGTAATAGTTTATTTTTTTTTCTGCTGTGTCCCAAGGTTGCGGGTGGCTCAACATGTTTATTGGGCATGGCACTGTAATTAGGAGATACTGTTTATTTCATTTGGTTGCTGGGCAATGTTGAATATTTCAATTATACATAAGCCAAGATAAGACTGATATGGGACATATGAAATGTTGAGGGTAGAGTCGCATGGTGTGCGAGTCGGGTATCAATAGACATAGAATGAAAAAGAAAACAGTCAAGCAATAGTGGCGTTGACAGTATACGTATATCGAGACGTCACTTTGCAGTAGTAAATGAGTAAACGTGTAGTTGCAACCTGCAAGCTGGCTGGAACGCGGGGTATCGTGTGATCACCGCGGCCGAGTGCATCGCTAGGTTGAAACTAGACCAGGAAGGCTTGCTTGCATAAACGGAACCTGCCGTCTCTCTACCAAGCCCCGGAGCTGCCGGGTTCCCCAGAGTGTGAGAGGCTTCGACGGCATTGTTTGTCGTGGTCGTATGGATGCTCTGTTGAACTCCATTCCCAAAGGCCGATTCCCAGCGGTTGAATGCTGGCAGCGGTGATAAAGAACAAAGGTGGAAAAAAGTTCAGAAGATAGCCGGGTTGCCACTGTGCTGGATCCCCTTGTATCCTTGCAATGTATGTAGAGACGGTGCGATGGGGGTTTGCGTGGATGGATGGGTATCGTTGACCTCGTATTGTTGAGTATAGACGTTCCCGTGTTGCATTAGGCTTGAAGGAGGTGACGGGGTGGTTCTAGGTGTCCGGGACGCTATTGTTGATAATTATATCGCAGGGATATAGGCCTTCCCCAGCCCCCAGACTAATTGATGTAGACCATCACAGCAAAGGAGACCAGACAGAAGCAAAGGGGGATATAGACTTTCCGGTCCATATCGCGGTCGAGTGGGGAAGACGGAGAGCCAGCGGAGCGAGGACGAGTAGTCGACTTAGTGTGTTTGTGGACCATGTTCTGATAAGACGGCTTCTTGCCTGTCCTTGTCCTTGGTGTTGGTGTTGTGATTGATGTTGTGAGGCTGGGGATAAGATGGTTTTGCCAGGAAGGGATGAAAGAGAAGAAGGATGAAGACTACAGGGAAGATGGGAAGGCAGGAGGAAAGAGGAGGGGAAAAGGAGGGGAAACGAGGATCGGGTGATCAGCAGCCAACGTGGCGCCCGATCACCCAACAAGATCGCAGCATCCCGCAGCGTGGCCGCTTTCAGTGCCTTTCTTCCCCAACCTTTGAACCTTCAACCGGCTGACTGATTGTCATGTGAAAGAGAGCTTGTTGTTGTTGTTGAGCCGCCCGCCTGGTTTCTGAGGCACCAACGGCAGATGCTCAGCCACCTCGAGGGTCCGAGTTCGATTCTGCGCGGGGGCAGTTCCCAGCTCTTCTTTTTCTTCCTTCTCTCTTTGTTGGTCTGCTGTCTGCCAACTCTGCAGGATTCACGTGAGGGGCCGGAAATCCAACGCGGACAGCAGGACAAAAGTGACAGGGCAGGATCCAGTTGCAGGTCGGTCCAGGGGACGGTGCTCGTAGATTACACCAACCCCCTGTTTGTCTCAGGTTGAGGCTGATGACAGCCAGTCAGGATGATGGTTTAATGACTTCGTACTTTGTGCACGCTACACTAATCTCCCGCAACGCGTCAACGGGCTAATCAACTGGACTGCTTGTTCGGAGCGTCTATCCGAATGCAGCGCAGAACAGTAGTATAGTGATGTTCATCTAAGACATGGTCATGGCGGACCAAGTGATATGAGATAGTCCCTCTAAGTGGATTCCCCCCGTTGTTCAGGGTTGTAAGAAAAAAAGAGGCGTCCCCTTTCACCCTTGATTTCGCGCGTGTCAATACGACCTCGATTTGCCCTCTTCTCGTGCCTGTCAAGAAGAAAACAAAAATAATCTCCGGGTGAGACATGGATTGTCTTCTGACCTGCAAAATGGTCACCCAGCCGAGGTGCGCGTCGCTTAGGGCCGAGTCAGTTCACCCACCAGCCCTTTTTAGACATCACCGCATCTTATTTTATTTTATTTCTTCGCATTATTTGGGGACCCTCACTGTAAACTTTGTACTCTGATGTGACCACCAGTCGCATTGGATTGCCTTACATTTGTATTGCGGTTCTAATGGAGAGCCATGAGTCCGAGGGCGGCGATCCATGGCTTCCATCCGTCCCCATGGATTGGTCTCGATCGAATCCCAGCGAGCAGTGCTGCGACAGTTCTCTGACACGATCCGCAGATGAGGGCACCAACAGTTGGTCAGATTGTACTTGAGTAGTGTCCTCTAGTAGCGAGTCCTAATCTCCGTGGGGGGTTGCATAAAGCCATCGACAGGAGCGACCGTGGCGAAAAGGGAGTGTGGTTCAAGACTTGGCCCCTTCGGCTCCGGCTCACTAAAAGTCATAGCGAGTATCGTTGCCTAACTAATCAATAATAATCCAATCAGTCCACTTTAGTTATCCCATTGACTAATGGATCGAATCGGAGAATAGGGCGAATAACACCACGAGCTGAACCTTCGGAACCTGTCCCATGGAAGGAGGAGAGGAATCAACAAGGAGAGACCAAATCACCTCGAAGGGGTTGCAAGAGGGGGGAAGAGATATTTCGAAGGACTTGTACGGAGTCAGCTTGGGTCCTGTACGTATTAACCTAGTACTGTACAATACTTTGTAGGCTAAGGTGACACATACCACTGGCACAAGCTTTAGGAGAATCTGGTTGGACCTTCGTATACGCGCAAGTGCAAACTGTTCGCAGCCCTGAGCTTTCCCCGGGCCCGTCGAAAAGGGCAAGTGGATATAGCCCCAATCTGACCCAATCTGACCCTTTGGCAAGTTAACGAACTGACGCCAGTCAAAAACCCTTCCACTGATTCCACTCACTTGTGCTGGGGCCGTCTTCAGTGTCTGACTCCACTTTTGCACTTGCGATCACTTGAATTGATTGTCTTTGTCTTGTCTTGTCTTTCCTTTCCTTTCCTTTCTGCCTCCTGCAATCAAGATTGTCTGACCACCCACCATCCGGATCCGTGACTGACTGACGCAGTTGCCTCTCACTCTCTCACTCTCTCCCCCGATGGTGCCTGCCCAGACTTGCTCGCATCCTTCCTTCAGCCCTTAAACTTATTCTACTCCTCCAGGAGACGAACCAGGGGAAACACCACCCTGTGCAGTGCCTTTTTTTACCTACCCACCCCCAATTATCATCCTTGGTTCCGTTGGTTCACCAGGGCAGTCCCTCCATAATCTCGGACATGAGCGTAATTCTTGAGTCAAAAAGAGGTATTAATATCTTTTCTCCTTCGCCTCTATGACGGTGTATGTACCCAAAAAAAAAGAGAAGAAACCCACTTGCTGTTAGTAGCATCCATCATTCACTACTATTACTACTACTACTACTACTACTACATAGTGATTTAACGGAAGTTTAATCTTTCAATTCCCACTTACCTTTCCTTCTTTGGGGGTTCCTGCCACTCTCTCTCACTGACTGGGTCCTCCTGTCACTCGCTGCTCATAACTCATAATTACCGCCGCCCAATTCCTCTCGTGCTCCAGCAAAGTAATCTTAACTTTTCTTACTTACTTCACTGCTACTTAATTATCTGGATCTCTCCCACTTCCCAACTTCCTTCTTCCCCACGAGTTTCTTCCACACATCTCTCGTTTTTCATACTTAGCAAGCAACAACGCCCTTGCGCCTGCTGGTTCCCCTCCCACCTTCGCTTTCCACCCCCCCCCACACACATTCGTTGACCTTGATCTTACCGATCACAACAACCATCATCATGTATTTCACATACGCTGCTGCTGCTGCGCTCTCTGCAGTGCTTCCTCTCGCCGCTGCGCAGACCTACACCGACTGCAACCCCCTCGAAAGTAAGTTAGTTGCCTTGTTTGCGGCTCTGATTTACCCATCTAACCCTGTGCAACAGAGACTTGCCCTGCTGATACGGCCCTGAGCTCCTCTACTTTTTCTTCCGACTTCACCCAGGGCGAATCTTCCTTCGCTGGATGGACTGCCACTGCTAACAACGTCACCTTTGATGAGAATGGTGCTGCGTTCACTATCAACCAGAGGGGCCAAGCTCCCACCATTCAGACCAACTTCTACTTCTTCTTTGGCAGAGCTGAAGTTGTCATGAAGGCTGCCAGCGGTACTGGTATCGTCAGCAGTATTGTCTTGGAGTCGGACGACCTGGATGAGGTTGACTGGGTGAGCTTCCCTCTCCAAATCCTGTGCCTGCACACACTTTAATCCCCTTCTATTTTGCCTTCCTCCATCTTTCTCACGCCTGCCTACTCGCATTGGCATAACCTCATGCTGCGTGAATTGCCCAACTAACTGCACTGGTGCTTGTAGGAAGCTCTGGGCGGTGACACTACCCAGATTGAGACCAACTACTTCGGCAAGGGTGACACTACCACCTATGACCGTGCTACCTGGGTTGGAATCTCTTCTCCTCAGGAGAACTGGCACACTTACACCGTCGACTGGACCGAGACTGCTCTGAACTGGTACGTCGATGGCAACCTGGTCCGTACTCTGGCCTACAACGACGCCTCCAGCGGCACTCGCTTCCCCCAGACCCCCATGAACCTGAGAATCGGTATCTGGGCCGGTGGTGACTCCGACAACGCCGCTGGAACCATTGAATGGGCTGGTGGTGAGACCGACTACAGCCAGGCTCCTTTCACCATGTACGTCAAGTCTGTTTCGATCACCAACAACAACCCTGGCTGCAGCTACACCTACGGTGACAAGACCGGTAGCTACAGCAGCATTGTTGTGAACAAGGACGGCTGCGACGTCACTGGTGGAGCCTCCTCCTCTGCTGCTGCCTCTTCCTCCACCTCCGCCGCTGCCTCTTCTGCCTCCTCCGCTGGTTCCTCTGCCTCCTCTGCCTCGGGCGCCGGTTCTTCCACTGGCTCCTCCACTGGTGCTTCCGTCAGTGCCAGCGCTACCGGTGGTGTCATTGGTAACAGCGCCGGAGTTGGTGCCCTTGTCTCGGCTGCTGCTGCTTCCACTCCCGCTGCCGCTGCTTCCTCCGGTGTGGTTGGTGGCGGTGCTGGCGGTGCTGGTGCTGCCGCCTCCTCTTCCGCCGCTGCCGCTTCTTCCTCCGCTGCGGCTGCCGCCTCCGCCTCTGCCAGCGGTCTCTTCACCGGTGCCGCCTCCACCGTCACCACTTCCGTGGGCGCCATGCTCCTCGGTGTCTTCTCCGCTATGCTGTGCTTGTAAAATCATTTCTTGGTGGAATTGATTTTGCATGCCATCTCTACACACCGTCATGCGTCATCACCCCCCCAGACCCTTTATCTTTTTGCTTAATCATCTTCGCTGCATAACTTTACACCACTTTTATCTGGATCTGTACTTGTACGGTTTGTACATAATCTGAGTTGGATTGCTTGGAGAATCAAGACTGGAAGCAAGAAGGGGAGGACATGGATACACTGAACTCTTCGTTTTCTTTGATTTTGGTTCTATACATTGTTTCTTTTGACAATTGGGAACTGGAAGCTAGATTAGACAGCTGGGAAATTCTTGTGTCTGACTTTCTCTTGGACGGAGGGCAAGAGCTCGTTATTTTTTCGGGTCTTGAGCCTTGACGACTTTCTTCACACATCTCCAAGTGACTCTCGCTTTTGCTCGAGCAAACATGCTTCCTTCTTCTACTGGAGCGCTTCAATTTGCTCATGTGATTTCCCTGTTTGTCTTGCTTATTGGCGTGTGTGCTTTTCTAGCGAGAAAGGTAGCCTTTTGCTAGTAATAGTAATATTATCATCTTATCGAGATTGACGGCTTGCTGTAATAGGGTTGGTTCTACGATCTAGATAGTGGAGCGTACATGGGTATTCGTAAATTGTATCAATTGATTGATGGACCTGGAAAATGTGGGGGTGACTAATTCTCTTGGCCCTATGCATATGGATATGGAGCATCGCTGGCGTCAAATGTGTGTACTGTAGCTCTGAAACAAACTGATGTCAAGGTATGGGGCTTTCGGGATCCGACTGGCATGAGTACAAAGCCGCGTGCATTTGTGGAATTTCCCGTGGGATCGTAATCATGATTGCGTGTCGCGATTAGCAAAGACGTATCAGGTTTTTTTTTTTTTTTGGTCGAGTTTTGTTCTCGGTTTTTCTCATGTCGATCGTGATATCAAAAATGCATGCCAGGGTATGGAGGACCGTGGTATGACGTACCCATGTCTTACTTTCTGCGGTTGCGGTTGAGAGAAAGACGCATTCATATCCACGCCATCCTTAACCCACACTCAAGAGGGAAACATGACCCCTTTCCTATTCTGGAGGCCTTGTAACCCGTCCGATAGCTTCTTGATCACGTCCATGACCGGTTGATGGCGGGTCGCTGCCTCTTGGAAGATGGTGGGAGGTTGCGGGTACCCATGATGGTGGTGGGGGGAGCTTGATGCGGGCGGTTGAGGGGAGTGATGATCTTGGCCATCGTGGTGGTCATTGCTATCATTATCCTCATGATACTTGGTGTTGGTGTTGGTGTGGGGTTGCGACCGCGCACTACTTCCACCCCCGAACAATGCGCCGACCATGCCTTTGAGCCCCGACGACCCCGGACCCTGGCGATGACCATCATCATTTCCCCTTCGGGCCGCCCGTCGATTGGTCTCCCGCTTGACGACACCGGCGATGGACTCCAAGTGATCGTCTAGGGTGGCGAAGTCCCCCAGCAGCGAGTCGGCCTTGGTTTGCATGCGCGACGTCAGTTGATCGACGTACTGTTCCCGGCGCGTGAGCTGCGTGGTGGAGAGACGCGCGTCCGGTGAGGTGTTGGCGGTTGTCGCCGGCGCCGGCGCCGCCGAGCCGCGACCGCTGCCGTTGCCGTTGCCGCTGCCCCGCGCGGCGATTAAGCTGTCCACTGCCGATCGGATGTCGGCGTGCAATGAGTCGAAGCGCCGGGTGGCCGTGCGGGTGGCTTCCAGGCAGCCGGAGAATTCCAGGTCCAGCTCGTGCTTGCTCCCCGGGTACTGTTTCTTGAGGAGTTGGTGGATGTCACGCAGTTTGGATTCGGTGTGTTTGAGGGTCGTGCTATGCGGGGCCATGGTCTGGAGGGTGTTGTTGAGGAGGGTCTCCAAGGGCGTCTGGGCTGAGATTGAGGCGGGCCTGTTGTTGTTGATGTGGTTGGGCTGGAGGTAGAGAGGGATGCAGCTGACCGGGTAGAGGGTTGCCAGGGCCGGGAGGGAGCAGAGGGTTTGGTGTTGTTGGACGATCTCGGGGAGGATGAGCAGGTGGCAGATGCCAGCGATGAGGAGCACGTTCAGCAATATGCGCAGAATGAACCCGCGACTGGGAGGAGTGAAGAGAGGGCGACGATTGATGGTTTCATGCTGTGCGACCATGGGCGGCGCGCTTTCTGTCGCTACAGCTGAAGGACCCTGCGTCGAGTTTCTGGTTGGTGATGGGGACGATGCTTGGTGTCTGCGTCGGAGAGCGCGTGGAGGAGATGCAGTTGGTGCAATCCAGGACCCCTCGCAGATCGGAGCTTCGTATATCGACGGCATGATAAGATCTGGTCCCGATATGGACTCGCACGAGGTGGATATCGATTCCGTCAGATTCTCATGGTGGCTCTTGGTCGGGCGCGGTGTTGTGTCGGAAGCCTCAGTCTGATGATTGTTGTTGTCGTTGTTTTCTTTGTTTTTGTTGGCTGAGGGCTCCTTTGCAAACCGTGCCGGCGCGATGACCCATGACTCCCCTAAGACGGAGCTATCCTGAGGTCGTGAGTGTTTGGACATGGTTATGGATCTGAGCAGCAAGGCCTAGAACGTGGCAGATCTGCAGCCTCCCTTGGGACAGAGGCTTGCAATAACTCAAAAACTGCAGGAGGCGTAAGGAGAGACGCGATAAGTGTTACTTTGTTGATTCAACCACGGCGACGACAACGGTCGTCGAGCCAGTGGTTGAAATCTCGTATCGTTTAGGCGCTAGCGCATCTCAGAAGAAATGCAGTGAATAACAAGGGCTATCTCAGGTCTTTGGACTCGAAGCTTTCCGCAGTAGTCGTAGGATAATTGTAGCGTTGAGCTGCGATATCCGATTTTCACAAAGAGGATTTCACAAGCATGGCACTTGTTTCATCATCATCATCATAATCATCAGCAACATTCAATATCAGGAGGGTCTAGGCAATAGGTATAGTATAGATCTAGGATCGTCTTCAGGACGCGGTCGATGGTGGGGGGAGACAATCCGTCACGGGAACGCGATGCCAAATCGGGCCGATCGCGTCGAGTCACGGGCGGCCGCGGAAAATCCTCCAGCTTCAACTGCTCAACTTTCCAACCTGAGCTCCTCACCATGCGACAATTAACTCCCCTGCTACGGCAGGCATCGCTCTCACGAACTAACCTACTACACAGGTCATCGCTCGTGCGCTGGCCATCCACGCGAGTCCAATGGCTCTCCTCCACGTCGTCGCGGCCTTGTTCATCGTGCCCTGATCCCAAATCCGACCAAGCCCAGACCTCGGCCGATTATCGCGCGCTGGGAACCGCCCAAGACCTCTTCACCACTTCCATCTACAGTCCTGGATCGCCGCTCTTTCTTCCCAATGGCACACATATCATCAATAAACTTATCACCTTCCTCCGCACACAATACCTCCAGTACGGTTTCCGCGAGGTCCTAACTCCCACAATATATAAGCGTTCACTCTGGGAAGTGTCGGGCCACTGGCAGAATTACAAGGATGATATGTACGAGGTCCGCGGCCGCGGAGCTACGGGAGAGACGGAGGGAGAGGCGGGCGAGGATGAATCCTATGGCTTGAAACCGATGAACTGCCCTGGGCACTGTCTGTTGTTCAAATCGCAGACCCATTCTTACCGCGAACTTCCCATCCGCTACGCCGACTTTAGCCCTCTTCATCGCAACGAGATCTCAGGCTCCTTGAGTGGCCTCACCCGTGTTCGCCGGTTCCACCAGGATGACGGTCATATTTTCTGCCGGCCACAGCAGATCAAAGGAGAGATCGCCTCAGCGCTCGGCTTTGTGGACTTGGTAATGACGACTTTTGGACTTGGGCCATACCGGTTGGCTCTCTCCACTAGACCAGAGAAGGACTTTATTGGGAGCCTGGAGTTGTGGGACAGCGCCGAAAGCCAGCTCCGCGAAGCACTCAACGATACCGGTCGAGAGTGGGCTTTGAACGAGGGCGATGGCGCCTTCTATGGACCCAAGATCGATATTCAGCTTCAGGACCAGGCTGGCAAGTATCATCAGCTCTCTACAATCCAGCTTGATATGAACCTGCCCCAGCGATTTGGACTGGAATACCAGGTGGCTGAAGGCGAGCCGGACTATAACCCGGAGACACCCGGCAGGGCGACACCGGTGATGATCCACCGGGCCAACTTCGGCTCGCTGGAACGATTCCTGGCATTGCTGATTGAACAATATGCTGGCCGCTGGCCGTTCTGGCTGTCTCCGCGACAGGGGATTATCCTCACTGTCAACCAGGATGAGGCGGTGGTTCAAAAGGCACAGGATGCTGCTGCCAAGATCTCCGGATTTCGCGCCCTTCAGCCGGATCAGACGGGAGGGGTCCCTCAACCTCTATCCTTTACCGACTCGACTTTCCTCATCGATGTGGACACTAGCAGCCAGACCCTGAGTAAGAAGATTCAACGGGCCAAGCAGATGAAATACAACCTGATTTTCATCATGGGGCCCAAGGATGCTGCTGCATGCCGCATCACGGTCGACATCACCGGTCAGCTGCAAAGCAAGTCTGATCGGAACGCAGAGAGGCTGCAGACAGCCGTCACTCAATGCTTTGGCGAGAACGCGCTGCAGAATCCTCGGGCTGTCCCCTTGCCGGTGGATGATGTGCATGGGCTGCTAGTACAGCTAGAGCGGCAATTTGTTTGATAGTGCGCCATGTGTATATAGGAGGATATCCCATGTAATATATTATTATTATCGATCTGATATGATCGAAGATGATAGCTTCACTTCTAGCCCGGATGATCGACCCGCTGACTAACGCAGCCCTAACCCTTTGCGGCCTTTTAAGCTTAAATCGGCGCCGACCCCGAAAGGGTCTGCCTGATTCTGGTGGCCGCCACGGGCGTATTAGCTCCGGTGTCGGGCTGTTGATTGGCTGAGAGTGCCTGAATCCCCTCCGAGACAGACTCATATCGTCATTCCGAATCCCACCTCGCATCCCGATGCCTCCAACCCTACAATCTGCCTATTCACACTTCGAAGGATCGCACAATCAAGGTCTTACGCTAGAGAGCACACATTAGGCCAGGAACGATAACCATCCGGGTCCAGCCACAACTACCGCGAGAATGATGGGACGCCAATTGGTGCAAAAAGCCCATTGAGATCAAGCCATCATCAAATCGCCCCACGGCCGACCCAGTCTGAAAATAAAGTGCGCCCACCACCGCACCTCAATTGCTGTGGTTTTTTTGGGTTTCTTGTCACGCTGCCGCGCTTCTGCCCCCACTCACGCCGCACTCACGCCGCGCTCTCTCGCCTTCTCTTTCCTCCTACTCCAACCCCCGCTCTCCCTTCGCGCCAGCGCCGATTTTTTCCCCTCTTCTTCTTTACACATGGAGGGAATTGTGCCCCTCGATTCTTCGTTCATGGTTTGCCAGGAGTATCCCACTCCATGGTCGTAGAATCCAAGCAGTCGGATATGGCCGAGGTGCCAGCCAAGACCAACCTTCCCCGGAAAAGCGCCTTTTCCTGCGAGGCTTGTCGCAAGCGAAAGGTGGGTTCCCCCTCCCCCTCCCCCTCCCCCTCGTCCCAGCCTTCGGGTGACCTCCGAGATTAAGTTCCAATCACTCTAAGACCGAGCTTGAATGGCTCTCATGGCTTAGCTGTTAAGACTGCTTATTGATCATGTTCGGCTAGGTTAAATGCAATGGGGCTAGCCCATCATGTTCACGGTGTGCAGCACGCGGGGAAGCCTGCGTCTATAGTCTGTGAGTTCCCCCCAGTGCTTCCTGTTGCCGATTGCTTGTATCCCCCACGCGTTCATACTGCATCTTTCAGCAGATCATCGATCTTTACTGATTTCTTGCTCTTAGAGCTCCGACCTTATCATATACGAAGCAGCTAGAAGCGCGAGTGGCGCAGCTGGAGGATGCGCTTACCAAGCTACGCAGCCAACAAACTTTGGAGCCCGTGGGACTGAAAGGGGCTTCTCGGGCTTCTTCTGCTTCCATAGGCGAATCTAGCGCAAGTCCGGGAAGGCGTACTCGCATAAAAGAGGAGGAAGACGATGACCAGAATCTCACCCGAGACTTCGAGGGGCTGAAGGTCGAGCATGATGGACGAATATCCTTTCATGGTCCAACCAGTCTATTCCAGCTTCCAAGTGGTGTTGTCACCGAGGCTGCTTCAACATCCCACCTGGCTATGCACCTGGAAGGTCGCAAAGAAAGGCTGATCAATAATGCATGGCGGGAACGTGCCTATGAACAGCTGGCGACCATGCCGGTAAGATTCTTTGCATTTCACCGAGGCAGAAATTAAACTGACAGACATCTCACCCCAGGAACCATTCCAATATCTCCTTGACTCGCACTGGTGCTGGATTCAACCGCTCTTCAACTTCGTCTATCGACCTACTTTCACCCGTCTGTCGCCGTCCTCTCAGCATAACAAGAATGCGTAACTGACAGTGTGATAGGTGATATGAAAATCAACGGCCCCTATTTCTCCGAAGCTCTCCTCAACGCCATACTTTCCCATTCCGTAAGATGGTGCAAGGCAGAACCGAAGATTGGTCCGATCCTTGATTCCTTCCAAGGCGGTGCGCAGTTCTCGCATCGTGCCGTGACAGGTCTCTATGACACTCTAAAAGCAGGATGCTTTGATATCCCTACCATCCAGACCCTGCTCCTTCTCAGTGCTCAGGAATGTGGACGAGGCAATCGAACTCAGGCATGGCTATACAGTGGAATGGCCTTTCGCATGTTGGATGATCTGGGAATTTCAATTGACAGCCGCAAGTATTCCGACAGCGCGCACCTGAGTGACGAAGACATTGAGATCAGGAACCGTCTTTTCTGGAGCTGCTATTTCTGGGATAAGCTGATCTGTCTGTACTTCGGACGAGCTCCGACCATGCAACAATCTCGCGTCAGCCCTCCGAGAACAATTTTGGATGATACGGCAGAGGTTGAGATTTGGACACCTCACGGTGTCGAGTTTCCCGATGGCACGCACTATCCACCTACTCAAGCCCACTCTACTTCATGTTTTATGAAGATGTGCGGTCTAGCCGAGATCCTCAACCAGATTCTTATCCACATCTACGACCCCATTCGGCAGGTCACTGAGGCGGAGTTTTATGACTGCATCCAGGAACAGGCTAAGAACCTGGCTGACTGGTGGGATGATCTACCTCATTTTCTGAAGCTGCAGGCTACAGACCTCCCACCATATTCCCCTCCCAGCCACATTGTAACACTAAAGTACGTCTTCACTCTGAGCTCCTGCGGCCATTACTGACCACGAGTACCCCCTCCAGTTGCCTATACCATACCATCAACATCCTACTGCATCGACCAGTTCTTTGCTCTAAGGCAAACAAGTCTTACGACAAGAGCCACCTTGTTCAATGTATGACGTCCGCAACGACCATTCTATCACTTTACGACCTATACCGTCGCACATTCGGTGATGTACATGTGGTCCTCTCTCTCGCCTACAGCGTCTACACCGCGGCATCCATATATCTTTTGGAAATCCAGGCCCTGAAGTATGCCGCTCAGGGCACCCTTGATAAGCTCAAGTTCTGCATATACGCACTGGAGAGGGTGAAGGGCTCAAATCCTGGTATGCTTATCTTTAAATCAGGCGTATAAAATCCACACAAGTTAATCCTTTGCCATGATAGTCATAACCACAGCTCTCAGCCTCATCTACCAGGAGCTTCAGAAGCTCCAAATTGACCTTCACATCGTCCTTCCGCCACTGTCTCAACTGCCACAGCCCGAACCGTCACAGAATATCCCTCAATCTCAATCCCAACCTCAATCCCGACCGCACACCTCGCACAGCTCCTCAATCTCAGCGAGTCTTTCTAATACTCCAAGCCGTCTATCTCCCGCCCACCAGCCCCAACACTCCAACCAACCTATGGCATCCAATCTCCTTCATCCTGCAGGCTTGACAACAGCAGGCGCAGCAACCAGTCTCCCCCCCTCTACCTATCATCAACCAGTGGCCGATTTCGAGCTCTCCCAGACCAACGTGCCGCAGATGGCGAACACGCACGTGCTAGGCGGGATGCCTAATGCCGTTATGACGCTCGATAACCCGGGTGCCTACGAGATCACACCCGAGGTCTTCGAGGCTTTCTCGTACGCGGAGCCGATGACGACGAACATGACCCCAGCTGTTGACTACGGATGGAACCGACAGTGATGCATATATTTCGCTTTACCAAGGCATGGATCGCATAGACTCAAGCGGGTTATTAAGGGAGGAGATAATCTCTCGTCGTGTTAGAGTGAGAGCTCACATGAAAGCATGCTGATAATTCTGTAGACTCAGATAACAACATTTATACCATCACATTCAAGGAATGAACTTAGAGAAAAGCTCAAATGATTAATTAGTTCGGATCATTAAATTATCACTTAGCTACACATTTATCATCATATCCAGCACTGTAAGAATGTTGCTTCTTGAAGCTTTCAAGTATACAAGGGTTATCTGCAAAATAGGGTTAGGAGCATGACCGTCTTATTTTCCTATCGCGAACAGTTACTATTTTGAGTACAAGAATAAGCAGCTGGTAAGTTTACTGCCGCGCAGTGCTTGAAGATTTTGTGAGCTGAATCGAGCTCCCAAATCGGTGAGCATACAAAGTCCCAAGTGACGCGGCGTGCCCTGACAAAACGGAGTGAATTTTCACGAAGACATCAGCAGTGCCGGGGACAAGGAATATCCGGAAGTTCTCGGCTCGAGCATGTCAGAACAGGTATGTAGCAGATCATTGAAGCATTACACTTTCTAAGTAGAAGTAGGGCTTGTGTCACGAACTAACGCAATTCTTTTTTTTTGTTTTGTTTTGCTTACTGGAAATGGGTGCTGATATACTCAGGTCAGATCATCCTCCAAGGACAACTCAGAATGTTCAGGGCTCAGTGATGGGTTGGTTTGGTCTGCAATGTACTGCTGTGGCTAGAACATTGGCGGCTGCGAAGGCATCAGTTACGGGAGTACGGTACATCAGCCTTTTCCATCAATACAATTCATCGGTGTTTATCGAGGTCGAAACCCGTGGCCCCCGACTGAGGGCCGGTTCCATGGCCGGGAAGGACCGTCCACCGTGTGAAACCAACCCGCCGGCTTAGTAGCAACCCTACTTTCATTGTTCGTTATGGCTTTGGCCGTAATCTCGAGGTGGTCGAGGGGTGTTAGGACATGACCATGAAGCTCATAGGATGATCTCGAGAAAGTTTCTTTTCAGAAACCTAAGTAACTAACCTAGAGTCTCATCTGTGATGGGCTTTGATTGATGGCGAGAACCGTCCAGGACAATTTGAGGGTTTCCGACGAGTTGGGAACGTGCAGGAGATGGTCAGAGAGCCGGAGCCTTCCTTCCCTCACCAACTTCCAAAGACCGATCCTTAACAAGGATGCATCAGGACCCATCCATTCAACCTTGACTCGACTCTGTGCTAGCGACACCTTCTTAGGAAAGAACAGTCAGAGGTCTTCCAGAGCCCTAAGCCTGGGGGTGACTGCTTGCTTTGCCACGGGCAGATGGGGCAGCGAAGAGATCGAAGAGGTGAGGCAGTCCGCGGTAACCTACACGTGCATATGTGTGACCGAATTAAATTGGGCCTCCGACCATGAGCGACGCCACCATCCTGCAGTGTTCGCTTATCTCACTTGATTGTTTTGAGGTTTCCACTGAACACGCGAATCTCGTTTCCCCGTTTGTACGTAGATGATAGAAAGGCCTCATTCATGTATCTTGCAATATAAGCCAGGCCGCTGATCGTCGTTGCTGTTATAAATCTCGATCCTAGTAGCGGACGCTGCTCGAATGAGAACCCGCAGTAGCAAGCATTTGCCGCGAGTAAAGAAAGTCTCTAGGCCGTATGGCCATGTCAGGCCTGCCAGTGGTTGAACAATAAGCTTGGTCCCACTATCCAAAATCCGGTGGCTGTAAACATAGCCTCAATCGCCTCCCCGGGAAAAGCCCCGCAATCCAACAATCGATATAAATGACTGAAGCCCAGAGTTTTCGACTACTGAGACAGTTTGATCGCTTCCGTGTGGAGTCACAACTCCTCGATAAATGCGAGAGTCAAATATTGTTCTGCTGCGAACCTTTCAATGCCCGTGTTAGAAACATCCACGTTCAGTCTCCCGTTTGAGAAGATTATGCACTGAAACTGCTTCTTGAAGACAATCGGCCTGTCGATTTCAACGGCCTCTCCTCTAAAGGTGGAAGAAGACGGCGGAGATTCCGCTTCCATAGGAGCTTCCTCTTTTTGTTGCAGCAGCAGCAGCAAGCAGAGTATCCCCCTTTGTTTCTTGCAGCGAACCTTGGGTTATAGAGCGATGTCGTCAAGCTGTTCCTGGAGCTCTATCTTGGCTCCGACAAAGTCAGAAAGGATCATGCCTGGAGAGCCTTGATTGAGGCTTCTCGAGAAGGCCATATTGAAGTGGTACGCGTACTGCTTAATGAGAATCCTTTTGGTGGGATGGAAGGGAATGACATGAGCATGGATTCGCTATTCTATGCCGAGAGCGAGGAACATGAAGAAATCATCTATCGCTTGCAGCCTTACTCTGAGAATCATACGCCCGTCGTCGGATCGACTGATTAAACACAAGTCGCTTTGTGCATGGTTATACTTGTGTAGAATAATTATGGATATACGACAGACCTTTCTGCTTGTACTTGTAACCATGCAAAGCGTCTCTGCATCAGCTAGTTCTGTCATGATACAACGAAAATAGTGTGGTATCGGAAGGTGTAGTGTAAAATGTCACTTCGTAGACAAGAGATGAGGAAAACCTTTAAGAAGTAGATATTTTTTTTCACAGCACATAAGATGTAAATTAATATATAATTTGGTGAAGGGTATGTCAGTCTCACTTGACTCAAGGTTGGCAATGTCGATCCTTGAAGTTGGCATATTTCTGGTCAAATTGACCCGGGAGTGCGGTATAAGAGCTAGCATCAGCTGCAGAGGACGAAGCGATTGAGACATCTTTCGGTTTGGCACGCCAGCGTAAGTACCACGGGTAGTCAAATAGATCGCCCATGCGCTCCATGGGAACGCCTTTAGTTTCCGGCATCGATACACCAAGGATGATGAGTCCCGAAAAGCAAATGATGGACCAGAAAAGGTAAGCACCCCAGATATGCAAGGAGACAAACATATTCGGCGTGACCCGCACGACGGCGAACTGAAAGAACCAATGTAGCGTCATACTCAGGGCGTAACAAACATTACGGATGCGGGTGGGGAAAATTTCCGCTCCGTAAAGATAGGGAACAGTGCAAAGTCCGATGGACCAGCCAATGGCATATACAAACACGGAGGCAATAGCGGCATTGGAGGCCGACTGATTGTTGCTTGAACCGGGTCGGAGACCCATGTAAATGCCCATGTAGATGTGGGCAACCAGCTGGAGAGAAAGCCCAGCCAAGGTGCAGCGGCGGCGACCCAGGTAATCAATCAAACCCCATGTAAAAGCCATGGTAAAGACAAGTTTGATGATTCCATAGATGCCAGAAGATATCAAGGAGTTGGCATTTCCAGTGACGCCAGCGTACTGGAAGATAGTGGCGATATAGTAGGTAATTCCGTTACCCCCGGTCCATTGCGCTATTGTTTGAATGATCATCAGAAGCCAAAACCGCTGGCGATAGTTTGGGTTTCTCTGAGATTCTTTGAATGCTTGCCAGTGTGTAACCGACTTCAGATCTGCTGCCTTTTCTCGCACTTGGGCATTGATGGCATTGAATTCATCTTCCACACCAGGATCGGTGATATGCTTGCCACGAAGACGAGCCAAGACGGTACGTCCTTCTTGATAGCGTTGCTGTGAGATTAGGTAGCGGGGTGTTTCCGGAACCATGAAGGAGGCGAAGAAGGCTATTCCAACAGGTATTAGCGGGATAGACTGCACCAATTGGTATTGCGTGCGGGTGGCAGCCATGTGCAATGTAGCGCCATAATTGATGAAGAAGCCTGTCGAGTTCCATCATTAGACCACAATTGGCACAAAGGTGGGTAGTGGAGTTTATCCTACCCATGGCTAGAATAAGTAGTAAAATGACCATGAAAGTACTCACGACCAAGCCTCTGGTCTTCGCAGGAGCTAAGCACAATTAGTTCTGTCCAGATTCAACATTCCAAGCGCTCAAGCGATCGAGCGATCACCCACCGATTTCCGAGAGATACAACGGAGCGACCACTGTCAACGCGCCCGCTCCGAGACCACCCCATATTCTGGCAAAGAGCAACAGTCCATAAATCCCCGACGAGAAGATTTGAACAAACAGACCCGATGCCCAGACCAGACAAGCCAAGCGCCAGGCGGGCAATCGGCCGAGGCGGTCGTTCAAATCCAGAGAGAATAAGGCGCCAAAAGCTGCTCCTAGCACATTGAAAGACGTAATATTGGCTTTGCGGCTGGCCAGTCCAGCAGCATCATGTTCCCAGTGAGACCGTACCAAATTGTAGTCGATTTGAAATGACTCGAGCTTGGTGCTGGCGCTAAAGCCGCCCTCATCGTAGCCTGCAGCGCAGAGCCCAAGCGGTTAGTCGATGACGAGTCCAAACGGAGCAATAGCAATTGGGGAACGATACCTTTGGGAATGCTTCCACATGCGATGATAAGAATGACCAAGGCGTAGAAGGGATTAGTAGTCCACCGCGACCAGTCGAGGGCCGCCCATCCCATAATGGCGCCAGGCGACGTCAACGCGGGGAGACGGGCTACCAGCCCAGGACAATTAAGGATATAATGATGAAAACAAGATATCAAGGCCGATCAGAGAAAATCCGGGGAAAGCTCCAGTCACTGAGAGTGGAACACTTGGCCAGGGCCACACTATGAATGACCACAATTTAGGCGACGAGATTAGAGTGGACGAGGAGCCGAGATGAGGTCGAGAGGGGGAAGAAATTATCCACTCCACTCCGCGGGGGGGGGCGTGACTTTCTGCCTCTCGGTCAACTTCCGCCTTCCTTCTCTCCCTCCAAGGCTCCATTGTATTGTGACGGTGTCTCTTGTACCAATTCTCTGCATCTCATGTGCACCCTTGTATGACTTTTCTGCGCCCAGCGCACCATGCTTTGATCAACAGGCTTTACGAAACTCTTTCGTTGGTCGCTACGATTGATAGGAGGCGTCTGCTCCCAATACTTCCAAGTTCCGAGTGATAACCGGAAAAATGCCACCCGGCGGCTCGCACCGCCAGCATCCACCGGCAGGTGCCACTTCTTCCAGGAACTGTCCGCGAACAATTTAGTCTCACTCTCACGAGTCACGGATCTTCCTTCGGATATATGGAATGTAATCATTGGCCTTTTTTCCCTCTCAGATCCCTTTTTTTCATCTAGCTCGCGGTCAAAGTCCGACCTCTTTACCCCTCCTGGGGTTCCCACAATCACTGAGAAGTGAGAATACTTATTGTGATCAGCCCTGTTCTTGTGGGTCGCGAACTCCGTCCATATATTTTACTTTGGCTCCCTTACTCTTGGCCTCTAACTATTGCCTAGGCCGAGCTGGGGCCGTCTCCAGTAGTCTATAAAACAGTCGGCAAGCCGATGCGGAGTATGCCGTGATCCCTTACGTATCCACAACTATTGTTGCCGAACGGGGGATTCCCCTCCCGGTTCGCGGTTTCAGTACTTTTTTTTTTCATGTCAATCATGTCTCGACAGGCGTGCTTTATAAAGGGAGTAGTGGGTAGGCTGCAAGACACGACCTTCGTGAGTTCATACTGTCCCGAGTCGAACCTCACGTCCTCTTGACAGCTTTCATTTGCCCTTCGCGTCACGTATCATGATTTTGCCCTCTATGACCAAAGTACTCACAGACTTCAAGCCCAGGGCTGGTCTCTTCGGCAACACCCGAGTTCTACTCAGCACTACATCGCTCAAACAAGACAAGAGCAGTTATCACAACAGAGATCTACGCAGAGTCACTACACGTGCCTCTCCGATCAAGCATTGCATACCTAAAGGAACATGGGATACGCACATGCACGTCGTTGACCCGCAGCGCTTCCCCGTCTCCCCCAACGCGGTGTACAAGCCTTCGAAGCATACGATCGAAGAGGCTATGGCATTCGAATCATCTCTGGGGATAGGAAAGATCATTCTAGTCCAGCCATCAATATACGGAACGGACAATTCCTGTCTTTTGGAGGCACTCAGACACGTGGGGCCGTCCCGTGGGCGTGCGGTTGTGGTGATTGATCCGGCAACAATCGATTCCCAGACACTCGCAGATTGGCATTCAATGGGCGTCCGGGGCGTACGGGTGAACCTGAAATCGGTCGACACGGTGCTTGATGAACGTGAATTGACAGAAATGCTATTGCAACATGCGCAGGTCATCCGGCCCCTCGGATGGGTCATCCAAGTCTATGTTTCGCTGGAAACGGTCCCGATCCTTGAGAAAATAGTCCCTCAGCTAGGCGTCAAGCTGTGCATTGATCATTTTGGAAGCCCGGATTTGACAACAGTTGACAACCCTTTGCAAGGTGCGGCGTCATTCGATCCATACAGCTTGGCGGGGTTTTCTTCTTTGATATCTCTCCTCCAAGCTGGAAAGACATACGTCAAGATCTCCGCTCCGTACCGTCTCAGCAAGGATGGACAATACCGCGATCTGGAGGTAATGGCGCGAGAATTCCTGCGCGTGGCGCCTGACCGAGTCCTCTATGCAACCGACTGGCCTCATACGCGCTTTGCCGGGATGGACATTGAGCCATTCACAGAGACGTGTCTGCACCTGTGCGAAAATGTGCCTGGACTGGCCGATCGAGTATTCCGGCGGAATGCCGAAGAGATGATGGGGGAGGACGCATGATGCGCTGATTGATTATATTGAGTGCTGCAATTTTTCCACCAGACCTTACGATTCATGACTAGATTAGCATAATACCACATACGATTGATCACATCCAATAATGCTCACCGGTGAAAACTGACGGCAGACTCCGAAACAAGCAGAGAACAGAAGAACCAAATTACCATGTATGGATTATCATCTCGGCCAGGTTCCGGGCTGCGGTGTGACAAGTTGGGAGAATAACCTTTTTTCCCGGCAGGAACAAGGAGGCAGTTCAATTATTCCCCGGGTAATCCGCGGCTATCCGGACGGGCTTAACGCTAATCCCCATTTTTACTGTAGGCGCGCCTTCCAGCGACACTATTGCACTGGCACTGCTCCCTAGCTTCGGGAAACCTCCGATCTGCGCTTCTCAACTATGGTTGACTTGATTTCCAACACATCCAGATGGATCATGCTTCCGGAATACCTTGACCATCTGAAAGCCTGTGGTCAAGATCTATTTATGTTGTAACGATCATAATTGGTCTGTATTGTTTCGCGTACGGCAGTCATCGGACTGGCTTCTTGTGCTCCAGCCGAATGATGACCTATGGCATCGAATGATGGCCTAGTGCAATGCGAAGCCATCTCTGTTATCACGATTACGGGATGCGTCGAACTTGTACACCCAACACCTAACCTCCAGGATCACAATTTTGCTGAACGTTGTAGAAGGCACCTGTACCTTGAACTCGTTCAAACACCACCGAGACTAGAGAGTAATAGCTCACCAGGAACACAGGCTCCTGTGCTCCGTCTACTCCCAACTCTTTCGCAGCCTTATCCCAGAGAGATTCCTTCAGCGGACTTCACGCAAGAAGCGAGCGACTGCCCTCCAAGGCATATGAAGCATCCGAGTCTAGTGTGCCCAGGACTCGACCATTGAGTATAGTCGCCACCGTGTTGATCCCCACGGATGTTGTAGCCGAGATGGTATAGCATGATGGTGGCATGCGTAGGTAAGCTTTTTCCGCCAACTCATAATGAGCCCATGAAGTAAATGTCGTGCCGGTTGAACCTAACCCCAACAGCATTCTGTACAGGAACCCCGAATTGACACATGTCACCTTTTCACAAACCTTGAGACGTAGTTATACCTCTTTCGGAGAAGCATATTTACATCCATGATGTCAGATAGTCCCAATCCCTGTTTCTCGGAGAACCAGAGCTACATAAGCAAAGCTTATCGAGTCTCGCAGACAATGGGAAACCAAAACCGAAAAGAAAGCCCCCGGAACCTGGAATGAGGGCCAGACCCTTCATAGATTCATATATCGAGCAGCCAACAACTGTAGGACCTCGTCACTTGTCATTCCTATCTTGATCGGCAAAGCGCGCTACACGCAGGATACGATACAATGCCCCACCATGAATACCTGCATGAGCTGGATTTCCATGGAATGCTGTTGGCCCAAATATCCTACTATATTCCTTTTATCGAAGGATACGAGCTATCCTTTTTGCAAAACTGCTACGATACCCTGGTGGAAAAGTGGCCGATCCTGCAGGGCTCCGTTGATATCAGAGTGAGTTATTTGCCAAAAACAAGTCTCATCATAAGGCACTCATCCCAAACGTTCTCTCCAGCGGCGAGAAATCAATGATCAAATGAGTTTTACGATTGCTGGGTTCCAACCTATCAATATCGAACAACGTGATCTCGGTATATACGACCACGTGGGCTCTATATGCTTCACGCCATTCTTATTCCGCCTTCTTTGTAGATCAATAGCGAAGAAAGTCGACCTGGGAAAGCTGAGGCCCCGAGTGTTTGTTATCAGTGTGACCAGGATGGAGGGATGGTCGGTGATAGGATTTCATATTGACCATTCACTTTGCGATGGCGGTGGTATGCTCTGCTTGATTGCTTGATATAAAACTGGGGAGAGTTTGCTGACGTAGTTGGGGCTTTCCCTCTTCTCCCAGGATTCAACAAGATTATTAGTGCATACTGTGATATCATACAAGGAAGAACACCTGGCCCCTTGAGAAAGAGACCAAGAAGCGTGCAGCTAGGTCAGTGCCGGGGGGGCCCGACAAGCCTCAAAGGGCCGATGGTCGACGAAGATTGCCGCGCGTTCACAATCGGAGATGCAGTGAGGGGATCAATCACCGCAGGATGGAGTCTCATCAAGGAGACACTCCGATACTTCTTCGAGGAGCGGATTGACGGGAGAGTGCATGTGCCCGAGCAACTCGTTCGGAAATGGCGAGACGACTGTTCAGCTCAAGGCATTCGGGTGACTACACATGACACACTTACAGCTTGGATAGCACGATTAGTAGGTTTTGTTGCATGAGTTTCAGAAACCTGACGTGTGTTAACGTCAACATTTCTGCAGGTATTATTAACTTCCCCGGGGCCGAAGGGGCGGCCATTCAACATTGTGATCCCAATCAGGGTTTCAGCATTGCTCGACGAATCAGCCCATCAGAATGTACTCGAGAACAGCTTCCTTATCTCTTCTCTGACTCTGAGCCCAGATGATGAAACCCTCTCGATTGCAAGAATCTCCAAGCAAATTCGCACGATGATCGATGCTTCCAAACAGATCGACAACCTGCAATCTGCCCTTGGTAGACAGGCCAGAAATCGCTGGTCTCTAACCTATCCATTGACCAAGGAAGTAGGTTCTCCAGATCCGTGGTTGTCATTAACTTCCTGGGAGGCGATCGCACCCGACGAGGTTGCGACAGCAGCCTTCACAGCACCGGGAAAGACTCGGTTCATCTCATGTGAAGAGCTGAAGGTGTTTCCTATGTTCGACCTCACAATTCCCAATCTGAAGAACGCTCTGTGTTCTTTCAAGTGTCCGTGCGGTGGCTATTGGCTCCACGGGCCCCTTCTGACGAAAGCCTGGGATGCCGCCCATGCAGACGTGGCTGCCGAGATTTCTGGCATTTCAGATGTGGATGCTGGTTCCGGTCTTGTAGATACCAAGTGCTAGGTATGCGGACGTGGGAAGGCTATGCCTGCAGTATAGTCTGCAGACAACGAGTGGAGATAGTCAGGAAGAGAGGTAAATCCTTAGAGCGTACCGAAGAATTCGTTTTACGGGACCGTTCTAGGAGTCCAATGTGCTTGCTCTACAGCCTATCCTACTTCTATCTGAAGCCTTGGCTCCTGGACAGCAAGTATAAGGGTGGGCCCCGACAATAATGCCAAGCCCATATTCGACAGCCAATGTGATGGAATAGGTGCAACGAAGCAATGATGCGGCAGCTATCGAGCCACTGCGTGCTTCAAGGACCCGGAAACAAAACTGGCATAGAAAGTTTGCTTCGAGAGGAAGAGGCACAGACAGGAGTTCTCAGTCATAGGACCTTTGGAATGGGAAGGCGTGGGAAGCCCTTTCCAATGTGGAAACGAGGTGGGCACGCTAAATCACAGACTCCCTTCTCGACCTCTAAAAGCCTCACGCAGGACATCCAGCAAAGCTTACCTGACACAAGTCCCGGGCTGATGTGCTCCGACATCGCGTTGAGCAAACTAACCTAAAGCTCTGGAGCACACACCAAACAGATTCAAACTTAGCGCAGAACGACCTGCCCGTCTGCACATCCATCTTGTCATTTTGTCTCGACATCTTAAGAGAGGTGTGTGGCACTTCCGAAGTATACGGTATAAGCGATAATCTCTGTTTCTGTGAGTGAGTGACAAGGGAAACAGATAGATCTATATATCGAATCTTGAGACATGCTATATCTAACGCTCTAAACGCTCTACCTAGCTCTAGATTGGCGACCGTGAAACCGGGCTCTCCAATGTGCGAATTCATCCGCTCTAGTCGATGTATAATCTCTATCACGCTTTGCTTGATGCCGTGTGGTAGTCGCTAGTGCTGATGCTGATGCTGTTGATGCTATGTATGATGCGAATATGTTTTTCGTGACGTCGTGGAAGTATAAATCGCTGGGTGGCTTTGCCTGTACCACCACTTGAGGTGGTGGTAAAGGAGAAAGAGGAACCGTGAGAGGTGGAAGCCGAGGGCGCAAGCAGACCGGCTATAGCTTCTCACTCCACCCCCAGACGGACCACCAGCATCGAACCTCGAGGGCCCCGCCATCGGCCGACTCCCAGTCATCGTAGCCGACCTCCTCGCCCTCGTCGACGACCGCTAGCCCGAGCTGACCCATCCGCTGCCGGAAGTCCTGCACCTGCGGGAGGTACGCGTCGCGCAGGGGCATTTCGACCACGACGCGGGCGTTGAGCCCCCGGCTGAGCCAGTGGGTGACCGTGTCGACGAGCCACTTCGGGTGGTTGGGCGAGTACAGCGGGTCGGCGGCAAGGATGAGATCGTACTGCTCGGCGGGCGTGGGGAGGGGCGTCGGCGGCACGGACCAGTCCAGCACGCCGGTGGTGACCGTTGCGCCGGTGCGGTTGAGCAGCTCGACGTTGAGGGCCGCGTTGTGCGCGAGGTTGGGCACGATGGCGGGGAGATCGGTGAGGTGGATGCTAGCGGAGGGGCCACGGAGGGCCGCAAAGGAGAGGCCGACGAGGCCGGTGCCGGCGCCGAGTTCGAGAGCGCGGAGGGTGCGCTCGGGGTGGAGTTGCGGCGTGGTGGTGGCGGTGGGGACGAGTTGCGGGGGGGATTCGAGGAGGGAGTGCAGGCGGATGGAGAGGAGGTAGGACGAGACCCAGGTTTTCATGCCCAGGTTGTCGCTCGTCAGGGATGGTTCGTGCAAGGTGAGCGTGTATTCTTCGCCATGGGAGGTCGGGATCATGAAGACTCGCGACATGGCGGGCATTGCTGTGTGGTGAGTGTCAGATCGGATACTCTATCGACCCAGCCAGCCCTCTCGGCCGGTGGTGATGATCACGGCTACAATGACAAGCTACGCTGCATCCTACGTACCGGTTCGACCTGAGCGCTCGCTGAGTCTAGCCGCAGCGGCGTCCCAGACAGCCTCTCGAAGCTCCTCGGTGTCGAGCCATGCCAGGGGACTCGAGATGATCGAGGTCAAATAGCGGGCGATACCGGCCGGGTGGACGGCCTGCGCCCTCACCGCTTCAGGGGCTTTGAGACCAAAGCTTCGCGGCTTCGTTGTCAAGAGACTGAGAGCCTGGATGAGTTCGGTGCCTGAGGGCTTAGTATGGATCTGGGGAAGATCGAGCACTGCGACGGGCTTATCAGTTCATTATCGCTCCTATCTATCAGGGGCTAAAGTGGAGGAGCAAACGCACCGTGAATAGGCTCGTCGGGATCGGCGCTGATCATGATGTCGGTATGCGGAGGGACGACCTGGCTGCACCAAACGGGATACTAAATGGTATAGAAGACGGTGAAGCTGCTCTCTTTCTTATAAACCCCGGATCTGTGGCGAAATGAGCGATGGGGATAGAAGATCTGGGCCTGCAAAAAAAAAGTCGAGATTGCCCAAAGAGGAAAGGCTGGTGTGCGTTGTTCCGCGGATCGGATCCGCTCCGGCGGCGCAGTTAAATCTTCACGTCCCGAGATAACCAGATAAGCACGTTTTGCATCTGATCAAATATACACGCTCTGGGAATCACCATCTAGACATGAAGAAATCATGGAAAACTGGGTTGGTATCTAGCCCCAAACGCCCAAGCACCAATGCTGTAAGATAAAAGACATTCATCCCCTCCAAACTCAATTGGCCGGCTCAGCCCAAAGTCGACTTGAACCCCATGTACGCTTGCTCGATATCAAAGAACAGTTCTCTGGCCTGCTCTTCACTGAGCTCCTCGGTCGCTCGCATTTGATTCAATGTGATCAGCCACTGGATGATCTTGCCCCGGTTCTCAAAGTCCGCGTCGGTCACCTTGTTGACGGACTGGATCACTTCGGAGAGCAGAGGGTGCAAGGCATCTTTCGAGACCATGTTCAATTTCAGCGCATCGAGGAAGGTAATGAAATTCTCGGTGGCGGTCAGGATCAAGGTGCCAGAAGCGCCGCCTGGCGGACCTGTTGCTGCCGGGGCCATGTTCGCCGCGGGGGTACTATGAGTCGCTTGTTCCACTGTGGCGGGGAGCCCGATTCGTAAACGCTCGGTGGCACGGGGGCATTCCAGCTAGAGATGCGCATAAACAATCAGTTTTGGATGGCCCGAGTTCATGAGGATATACTCACTCCCCATTTCCGCTTGAAAGTCTCGAGATCGACGAATTCTCCGGCTACGATATCATCTCCCAAGCTAGACTTGTACTGCTTCAGTAGGCGAGTGCAGGTCTCTGTGTACTCCGATTCTGTGACCACGTCTCTGATATAAGCCTTCTCAAGGCCATCCAAGGTGACAATGATACTGTAAATCTCCGCTAGGGATTCGTGAAGATCGCGCTCCGCCGAGCTAGAAGCTAGCTTCACTTCCTGGCATTGCGTAATGTGACCAGTCAGTCAGCCAGCTGCGACCCAGCAAGCAGACCGTACGGCTCTAGCTTACCTCATCGAGGTTGATGGACGCAGCCAGCGCCGGGTTGGGCGTATAGCTGTAAGGCGTCGGAGCATAGGACAAAGGCCGTTGCGCATACATGGTTGAAGCGAGGAAGTCTTGATCGATTGACAGACAGACCGACAGTGATGCTCGAACTGGACTGACTGGACGGTGTCCCGCATGAGGGGAAACGAAACCAACACCCCCCCCCCAAGGCGGTCACCCGATGAAAGTCGCCGCTCACCGCTCGATTCTGCCGCAACATGTATTTTTTTCCCGTTCTCCAGATTTTTTTTCCCGGGTTCCCTGAGATTTCGCGGGATTCTTTTCATCTCTTGAATTTCTTCCCCCCCGATTTTACACCTATCTCTCTCTCCACGAAAACCTCGTGAAGGGAACATTCCGGTATCATGGCTGGAGGTCAGAAGAAGTCCACGAAGAAGTTCGAGAAAAAGCACTTGAAGGATGTTCTCGAGCGTCGAAAGGCTACCGCCAAGATCAAGCAGCGCAACCACCTGAAGGAGAAGCGTAAGGCCGACAATGCGAAGGAGCGGGCGGGGCGGGAGGACGATGCGGAGGAGGACACCGACCAGGTCCAGAAGCAGAAGGACTTCGCGGAAATGAACGTCGACGATTTCTTCGCGGGCGGCTTCGACATCCCCGATTCGGCGGCCGAGTTGAGCAAGAAGGGTCGCAAGAAGGCCGTCGCCCCCAAGATCGGCAAGCGCAAGCGCTCCGACGAACAGAAGGAGGAGGAGGAGGAGGTTGCTGGCAGCGGCGCCGAAGAAGATGGCAGCGATGACGAGGGCAGCGGCCCGGACGACTTCGAGGCGCACAAGGATCAGCTCGAGGCATTGAAGGAGAAGGACCCGGAATTCTACAAGTACCTGAAGGAGAACGATGCCGAGCTGCTCGACTTCGGTGACCACGGTGACCTCGCCGAGGTCGACCAGCTGAGCGAGGAGGAGGAAGAGGAGGAAGGTCCCGCGAAGAAAAAGAAGAAGGGCTCCAAGGCCAAGGCGGAGGCGGAAGAAGAGGAGGAGACGCAAGACAACACGCTGACCCTCGAGATGGTGCAGAAGTGGCAGAAGTTGATGGAGGAGCAGCACTCGATCCGGGCGATGCGCCAGGCGGTGCTGGCCTTCCGCGCGGCGGCCTACGTCAGCGAGGGCACCGAAGAGCACAAGTACCAGATCTCCGACTCGAACGTCTACCACCAGGTGCTCGTCACGGCGCTCAACAACATCCCGCGGGTGCTCTCGCACCACCTGCCCGTCAAGGAGAGCGCCTCGGGCAAGGTGCGGATGTCGATGGACTCGAAGAAGTTCAAGACGCTCACGCCGCTCATCAAGTCGCACACCTCGTCGGTGCACCAGCTGCTGACCAACCTGTCGGACGAACAGACCCTGAAGCTCACCCTCTCCTCGATCGAACCCATGCTCCCCTACCTCCTCCAATTCCGCAAGCTCCTGAAAGTCCTCATCAAGACGATCGTCGGCATCTGGGCCGACGTGTCCACGACCGAGGCCACGCGGATCACGGCCTTCCTGATCCTCCGGCGGCTGATGGTCATCGGTGACGCCGGACTCAAGGAGGCCGTGCTCAAGGCCTCGTACGAGGGCGTGGTCAAGGGCAGCCGCAACACGACGGTGCACACGCTGGCGGGCGTGAACCTGATGAAGAACTCGGCGGCCGAGCTGTGGGGCATCGACCAGAACGTCTCGTACACCACGGGCTTCAGCTTCATCCGGCAACTCGCCATGCACCTGCGCAGCAGCATCACCAACACCTCGAAGGAGTCCTACAAGACGGTCTACAACTGGCAATACGTGCACTCGCTGGACTTCTGGTCGCGCGTGCTCGCGCAGCACTGCGACGCGCTGGTCGAAGCGCAAGCCGGCAAGCCGTCCGCGCTGCGCCCGCTCATCTACCCGGTCGTGCAGATCACGCTCGGCGCGATGCGCCTGATCCCGACGGCGCAGTACTTCCCGCTGCGCTTCCAGCTGACCCGCGCCCTGCTGCGCCTCTCCCGCGCCACCGGCACCTACATCCCGCTGGCTTCCGCGCTCCTGGAGGTGCTCAACCTCGCCGAGATGCGCAAGCCCCCGAAGACGAGCACCCTGCGCCAGCTCGACTTCGGCACGGCGATCCGGGCGCCCAAGTCCTACCTGCGCACGCGCGTGTACCAGGACGGCGTCGGCGAGCAGGTCGCCGAGCTCCTCGCCGAGTTCTTCGTGCTGTGGACCAAGCACATCGCGTTCCCGGAGCTGAGCGTCCCCGTCGTCGTCGCCCTCAAGCGCTGGCTCAAGCAGGTCAGCGCCCGCGCCGGCGGCAACAAGAACACCAAGATCAACCAGATGATCCTACTCCTGGTCCAAAAGGTCGAGGCCAACGCCCGCTGGGTCGAGGAGAAGCGTCTCGCCGTCACCTACACCCCCCGCAACCGCGCCGAGGTCGAGTCCTTCCTCAAGGACGTCGACTGGGAGAGTTCTCCGCTCGGCGCCTTTGTCAAGTCCCAGCGGAAGCTCCGGGAGGAGAAGGCCGCGCTGCTGGAGCAGGGTCGGTTGGAGGAGGAGAAGCGGCGCGCCGAGGAGAAGGCTGAGGCGGCGAGGGATGTGATTATGGATGATGTCATTAGTGAGAATGATGAGAGTAGTGAGGATGAGGACGATGAGGAGGGTGAGGAGGAGGTTGATGGTGTTGATGCTTCTTCTGATGAGGAGGGCAGTGAAGAGGAGGAGGAGGAGGAGGAGGAGGAGGAGGAAGAGGAAGACGAGGATGAGTTGGAGTTCGAAGAAGAGGAGGATTAGACTCGCCTCAAATTTTCTAATGTTGGTTTTTTTTTTATACCTTATACTCTATGTAGCTATCGGGAAACCCACTGCGTCCAAGTTTGTTTCTTTTATGTCAATATGAAAAGTTCAGGATCCATCTTTGTGCTACGTCTGTAGATTCTTGTACTACCACTGGAGAATAATAGCCAATGAGTAACTTGGAACTTGAATAGCATTGAACTTTTGTGGCTATCGATATAGCCGGAAATCAGGAGAAACATAAAGCAACAAAATCTCAAAAGCAGAGCAGTAGCCAAAACATGAAGATCAAATCACGAATCTCAAGCAAACAGCCCTCATACAGGTCATACAGGGAGGGCAATCTCAACCATCATCTCCAACAGCCCAATCTTCAGTGCCCACGTGCACCTCCACGATCTAAACCGACCCAATGGGCATCTTCTCCGCCCCCCACGCGCGGGACTGCTCCCGCCGCATCGCCGCATCCTCTTCCTCCGCCCACTCCAGCGACTCGTTGGGGAGCATGACGGCGCGATCGATGGCGACGGGGAGGCCCCGGTGGCGACCCCGCAGGGTCACCGCCGCCAGGATCAGCTTGCTGATGGGGTGCCAGGCGCCGCAGAAGGAGGCGTTCGAGCCCGGGTAGCCGACGCTGACACCCACGCAGCCGTAGGCGGAGACGATCTCGAAGATGATGTTGAAGGTCGAGAAGGCGACGGGCTGCTTCGAGAAGTGGTCAGATTCCGCGACGCTGATCAGGAAGACGGCCAGCGCGATCCACCAGAGATCGTGGCTCAGCTGGGAGCGCAGCTGCTGGTGGACAAAGTAGCTCCGCGAGGCTTCGGGGCTGGATCCGTCCCGACGGCCGAGCATGCGGTGTCGGATCAGTTGGATCACGAGGTTGGGTGGCGGGCGTGATTCTTCCTCGCCGTCGCTGTGTTCGTGGGCGTAGATGCCCAGGGACCGTTCTTCGTAGACGTTTGTAGTTCTAGGTGGTCGTTAGAATGGATTGATATAAGGTATAGGGGGCAGGGGTTCGACAAACCTCATAGTGAGCAGCACGGGATATGCTGATACATACTATAGATAAAAGTCAGTTATAGCACAACCAAGGGTGTTTTCAAGAAACGAACCATCATGAGAACTAAGAAATATTAGCATTTGTTAACGGCGTGGAGCATGGAAAAATGCTTACCATATAGAACGAGCAATCCCTGACGCAGGTCGGCTATAGTCACAACATAAAAACCTCCCGCACGAACAGCTGCAGATGAAATCGATTAGGTTAGGCTCAATTAACAGACAGTTTCGCACAACGAACCTGAAGCCTGAAATAGGCCATCGAGAACCCGATAGCCTGTAGGCAAGCTCTCGATCTCTTTGTTGCCAATGGCAAGAACCTCGAAAGCAGCCCAGTCTATAGCGTTAAAGATGATAATAGTGGCCAGGAGGAACCATGTGTGACGTCTCGGAAAGAGGTTGGTATACACCTTGACGAAGATTAGTACACCATGCATGGACAACCGCAGGTTACACATACTCTTCGAGGATGATCAAGAATGAAGTCCAGAGTGACTCTCCACGTGGCCCACGATGGGGAGTTTGGCAGCACGCATTTCATAACCCAGATAATGAAACGCAGGAAACACGGATAAAGAGTGTTTCCGGCCAAAATAAGGAAGCTCATTGTGAGCAATGGGTAAGCACTGATGAAGGAGTCAGTGGCCTTTCGAGCCAGAAAATCATGGTAAGTAGAAATACCTTCGTTGGAATGCAACCATGTTGGCATCCAATAGCGACATGCCGCTGTTGACAAAAGCGGATACTGCGAAGAAGGCGCCTGTCCAGAAGGGCGACAGCCCGTTCTCTCGGGCCTTTTCTGGATGATTGACTGCGACCCATGTGCCCATCCCAACTATGCCACAGATGACAAACATGACCCAGTACAGAGTCACAATGACTAGTAGAAAGGACACGGCTCTGTACTCTACGCCTCCTAGTTTCTCTCGCTCCTCGGGGGTAAGCCCGTGAAATTGAGAGTTGCGCGAAATAATGCCCTTGGACGCGAAATACTTCTGCGTTCCCTTCAAAATGCCCTTGAACGCAGGCATACTCTCTTCGTCCTCTTCTCGCTGCGGCGAGCGTGGGACAACATCTCGAGGATGGTTGTTCAGATCCATGCGAGCACCAACCCCTACCATGGGAAAGACGCGATGGTGGTGCTGATGTCGGTTTTTCAAATGACCAAGAGTGACCTGGTCATCGTCAACCCAATGGATCTGGTCCTCGTCTGAGGACGACGCATTCGCATCCGCAGCTGTGACACGAGCTGCCACCGTAACTTTGGATTCGTCAAGAACAAAGTCACCTGACTTTGGTGACTGCTCATGCTCTTCGACTCCGTTCTCATTGACAGGCTCCAGTCGAACGATTGGGCTCGAATTCTCAGTTGACGAAGCGCTTCTTCTTTTACGCTCGTCCACGATATGTTTAAACTTGGACTGAAAGGCATTTCTCCGAACGAAGAGCACTGTGATGGAGATCATAATTCCATGTCCCAGCAAGAGCAGCGCAAAGAGGATGGATTGCTGGAATGAATTCAACTTGGACAAATCCACCTGGTCAAAAGTCAGAGAATGTTCTTGACCGGGTTGGACACGGGGTTTGCTGGAAACGTACAGTATTCAGCCCAGCGCCAGTCATGGCACTGACGCACATAAATAAAGCGTCGACATAGGCAATACTGCGCGCAGGGGTGGCAGAGCCCCAGAAAATAGCACTGCAGATCAAGGGCGTCGCCAGAAAGTACGCATAATGAAGCGTGAGGAAGTTGAAGGGCGGAAGCACCGCCATAATGCTCCGTCCGAGGAACCGTCGCGAGTTCCAGTCTGTGATGGTGGCATGTTAGCATTTGTATATCAAGTTCAAGGCTGCTGATCCTCAGGGCGTCATGTTCTAGGGCTGTTCTAGCCTCCAGATCCTGCTTGCACCATTCCAGACGCAAGGGAGGGTGAGACGAAATATGGGGAGCAGAAGATGGCCCCGATGCTATGCAAGGAAGAAACTTACTTGTCATCTTGATGGATCGAATTATCCGAGTATATTGCAATTTATGGGGAGGGATGAATTAGGCCTCGCTGGCAACGAAGCGGGAGCCCTGGGCCTCGAGCTACCGGCTTCGTTTTATCGTAATGACAACCACTCGAGCTTTGGTGGTTGAATGTCTCTTATTTGGTGATTGGAGGGGGAGGGGAAGCGCACACCGCTACCCACAAGGACTTTGCAAAATCTGTATCAATCGTAATTTTATCCGGAATTTCATTGTTTGTTTCCTTGTGTGATGCGCTGTAAAGCAGTTGGAAAAAGTCACCAACAGAGAGATGACTTGGAGAGTAGAGAAAAAGTGGTTGTATAGGGGATGAATGGTGGTGGTGGAGAGAATTGCGGGCGGAATTGTGGCGGTTGTTGTATAGTAGGAGTAGTGGTGGTGGTGGTGGTAGTAGTAGTGATAGTAGTAGGGGAGCGGCACAGCTAAGCAGGGATCCGGAAATGCTAGTAAGCACTCAAGAACAAGAGTAGACGGTCAATTTGAGTGTATAGTGTTCGAGTAGCGTAGATCTTTGCAGAAAACTTCTGAGTTGAGCAAAGTTTGGGTCAATAATCGGGGGCAAAGCGTATGTTATTCCATTTTTAAAGACCTTCACGGTAGACAAGAATGAGTTGGTTGAAAGAAGAGTTAAGAATTGGAATTGGAACCGGAAAAGGAAGAGAGAAAAAGGAACAGAGAGAAAAGGGCAAAAAGTTTGGTGTGGCCAGTGGGCTGTGTTGATTCGAGGAAAGGCGGCGCGCGGCCGAGAATCCAAACTAAGGCGGACTTGGCTTCTTCACCAACCGTTGGGCCACTCGTAAGGCTGGCGATCGATCAAAAACGGCCAATACACGTCACTCGAATTCGATGGGTGCATTTCGACTGGCTTGATTACTCAATTACTCGAGTATTGTCTTCTAATTAATGTGTTTACACACATAGCCTCCATATCAATCGATCAATCGGCTTCATTCAGTTCCTCCATTGTCTTTGACCACTGCGTGGCGAACCCAATGCCCACTTTTACCCCCCTTCTTCTCCAGCAGCTTCACGCCACCAATCACCATTCCCTTATCCACCGCTTTCAGCATATCGTACACCGTCAGGGCCGCTCCCATCGTAGCAGTCATCGCTTCCATCTCGACCCCCGTTCGTCCCAGGCAGCTCACGGTAGCCGTGACGTGCATCGCCCCATGGCCCATCGAGCCGTCCGAAGCACGCGCGTCCGCAGCATCAGGGTCCAGTAACCTCACATCTACCTCGACGCCCGTGATGCCAATCCCCGGGTGACAGAGGGGGACCAGATCCGGGGTTTTCTTGGCAGCCATAATGCCGGCGATGCGGGCGACACTGAACACGTCTCCCTTCTTGGTCCCACGGCCCTCTCGTAGTATCTCCCACGGCCGCGGGTTGGAGAATTGCACCACACAAGTAGCCGTGGCTTGACGTTTCGTCACCGGCTTCTCGGCGATCTTGGTCATGTGCACGTGCTGCGAGCTGTTGAGGTGAGGCAAGTCTGGATCAGAGGCGGTGGAAAGGGAGATCTTGTTTGAGTCGTTTATTTCCATATCCGGGTCTGTCCGATGGGAGTCTGCAACAGACGGGTGGTCATTACGGGCACGGGAATAATATCGGACTTGTGCGGTGAACTGTGCACCGGAGGAGAGTAGGTGTACAGGAATCCTTCCCCATTTAGGTGATGCCAACCTGGTGGGTGGATTGTACAAAGAAGTGGCATTGATCGAATTGCCCATGTTTCCATTATCTAAAGCCCATCCATCAGCACGCGTCCCAGAAACTCAATCATCACATAGTATGCAAAACAAAACACAGCTTTCGACCCTTATTTCACGAAACAGACTGAGACACCTTCTACATGCATTGATCATAATTCATGAAAGTCATTCGCCCAAATGCAAATATCCAAAAAGAACAGGAGGTCGCGCCTACCCACCGATAAGGATCATAGGGCGGTTCTTCATGTTTTTCAACTCACCCATGCCAGCATGTTTCGCTTTCTTGCGTTTTACCGCCATGCCAATGATATCAAGCACTTCTTGTTCTCTCTGTGGGACCTCGGTCGTGTTGGCCGCAGATTCCAAAAGTCGCAGGTTCTTCATGGCGTCTTCATCAATAGGCTCGCCGTTGTTCTGTTTCCTGATAACATCGCGGAGCGACACTTCTGCATTTCCAAACAAGCAGACCTTGAGATTCCCGTCGCAGGTAATGCGCAAACGGTTGCAGGTGCCGCAGAAGTTGTGGGTCATGCTGGTAATAAACCCAATCCGACCCTGAAAGCCTGGCACCTGATACGTTTTGCTCGTGTCATTCTTATGGTCTGCAACCTTCTCCAGCGCGGGATACTTCTCCCGAATGACAGCCAGCATCTCCTGGTAGGAGACCATCTTGCCCTGGCTCCATTTGTTGCCGTCAAACGGCATGTACTCGATGAAGCGCACTTCAATGGGATTGTCACACCCCATTTCAATGAACGGAATGATCTCCCGGTCGTTGAGTCCACGCATCACCACACAGTTGATTTTCAACTTGATTCCCGCCCCCATCTTGTTCATCTCGAGAATGCGGTCGATGCTCTTCATCACAGCATCGAAGCCTTTCCTCCTTGTCATAATCTGAAACTGAAAGGGGTCCAAGGTATCCAGGCTGAGGTTCACTCCAGTGAGTCCTGCCTCGGCCATGGCATCCAGTTTGCGGTGCAGGGAGATTCCATTTGTTGTTAAGCATAGCTCACGGAGACCGTTCCGCCGAAGCTCGCCGATGGACTGCATTAAGGGTACAATATCTTTCCGGACGGTGGGCTCACCGCCAGTCAAGCGGATCTTTGTGACACCTTGCGCGACAAACAGCGACGATAGATAGACGATTTCGGGGGTGGTGAGGAGGCGGCTCGGTGGCGATAGCTCTATACCTTCTTCGGGCATGCAGTAGAGACATCGAAGATTGCAGCGCTCGGTCACGCTTATTCTGAGATAATCATGTTGACGGTTGAAGCTATCAGTGAGGAAGTCCGAGAAGGGTTTCGCAGACTTCAGAGCTGACCATCGCGACGGGGAGGACTTCGAGGACGGGGGGATTTCAGTAGTGGGCAACGATGTCGTAAGTGAGTCTGATGCGGTGGGTTGATCAACCGAGACCGAGTCCGGGGTTGTATTGTGCCTTCGAAAGTGTGGCAGAGTAAGCGTGCTTGTTCGGGGCTGACATCTGCGGGGAAGTGAGAGAAGGGGCGCAACTCCCCGCCTGCGCAACAAGAGCTCATTCATCCTCGACAGGGATCTCGATTCAGCGGGTATCAGATCCTGGCATCTTGCTGTACCTGCGAAGCGCTATACAGGTGCGGGTGCATGCAGGTGAAGAAAGCAGGGACTCGAGAGGCGTTTGTTAAATGAATGGCTGAGGGGGGAATGTCTTATCATTGCGGGCGCTGGGATTCGCCGCCATCTCCGCGGGTTCTCGGGGTTTGCCGCTGGACGGTGGGTCACGTGCTATCAGTATATCTTTTCTTGACATCGACCATTTGACAATAATAATCTGGGATCTACCAAGTAGACTATTTTGGAATTTATCTGACTCCTAGCTCATTGTCGGCAGCATTTTCCGCACTGCCTTCGCCAAGCTGCGTTCGTACTGCTCCACGCCTTCTTCTTGCTCCCTGAGCTTTCCGGATTTCAACACATGTACGACTCGTCGTTGGCTGAACGATTTATTTGAGGCCTTGTCCTCCTCCGAATCCTCGTCTCTGCCCTCCTCTATATCTCGCTTGCCCTCAATTACCGAGCGTACCATATATCGGTCATGGGACACAAGCAATATAGCCCCGTCGAAACTAGAAAGTGCAGCAGAAAGAGCCGTCACAGTATCGAAGTCCAAATGAGTTGTAACTTCATCCAGTATTAGCAGCTGTGGGCGAGTCCAAACGACCCTCGCCAAAGCTAGACGAACCTAATAAAGTTTGGTTAATCACCTATGGCAGAAGGTTGGGTTTTGGTATGTCACTTACTAGTTGGCCGCCTGAAAGTCGACAGACGGGTACATCAGAGACAACTCTGCCCTGGAGACCCAATGCTGATAGAAGACCTCTAATCTCGCCTTCATTGAGGGCACCGTTGACATCTGATGCCATTAGCGTTAGGGCCGTCATATCAAGCTTCGACCGGCCTTGCTCCTGAAGCTCTTCGATCGAATGCTGTGCATAGTACCCGAGCTTCAGTCTCGAATGACTCAAGATTTTGCCATGTGTTGGTACCGCGCTCCCAGTCAATAGACGTATCAGTGTCGACTTTCCGCATCCGTTCAGACCCATGATGCCCACGCGGTCTCCCATATGTATCACCAGTTCGATACCATCAAACACAGAGGCCTGCTGCTTGTTGTACCGGAACCCAACCCCTTCCATGGAGACCAAGGGACCGGGAAATCGTAACTCAGTTGCTGAGGGTAGCACAATGGACGGCTTTCTTTCGTCCACTGGGACCTCGATCTCCGCCCGCGCGGTCAGGTGGAAACCAACCAGGTCCCGATTCAGCTTGAATCGGCCGCCGTTGGCACTGACTTGTATGCCCATGCGATTGTCAATCTTCTTCTGTCGTGACTTGGCCTGACGTAATTTGTTCTCGTCACCTGTCTTCTTGCCTACCTTGATGTTCTCGCGGATGGTGGCCTCCATGTGTGCGGTTTGGCGTTCCTGTGCCTCCTTCATGCGGCCCCAGCGTAGCTTCTGGTCCTCGACGTCTTTTTCGTACGCAGACAGGTTTCCTCTGAAGTAGGTAAGCTTCTGGTCTCTGAGGATGATGATCTCCTCGCAGACGGCATTCACAAAATCTCTATCGTGCGAGACCATGAGAATTGTTGTCTGCGAACGCTCACGGAGCCCTTGGAGATAGTTCTCCAGCCAAATAATTCCTAAGAGATCGAGATAGTTGGTTGGTTCGTCGAGAATCATGATATCCGGAGATTGTATCAACACACTGGCCAGCATACATCGCATCCGCCAGCCGCCGGACAACTGACAAAAAGGCTTGCAAAGTATCTCTTCGTGAAATCCTAAACCACGAAGGATCTGACGAGCTTGCTGTTCAGTATCGACAAGCATCATCTAAAGCATTCAGTGATCAGCGATGGTCCATAATGAGATGTTGTCGAAACTCACAGCCTCCACCTTAGACTGCAACTCCTGTAAAACCTCCATTGCTGCTTGCGTGTCTTTCTGTATTGTGTCGGCATCGATAGATTCCTTCGCCTGGTTTAACCTAGAGCAAGAAATGTCTTTAGCTCAACTCTTTGACTCGGATCTTGAAAAGACCCTGGAACTTACAGTTCGACCGATGCCTCCAATCTCGCTTCAGCGGATTTCAATTCTTTCCGTGCTTGTAACCCTCGCGCACCACTCCTCAGACTGGCCATCTTCTGTGCTAGGAAAAGCTGCTTCTCCGCATCACCATGGCGTACTGTCCGAATAGCCTTCACAGGTTGTAGCGGATCGTCGGACTCGAAACTCTTCGACAAGACTTGGAGCGTGTATATGTCAGGAACACTGCGGTGGGCATTCAAGCTGCGAGAATTCGCGACTCACTACTCATCTTCTTCATAACCTCATTCTTATATTCATCCCCTGCCAGCACGTACTCCAAGACCGGTAGATGCTGTCTCTTATCAAGCTTATCCTCTTGGGTTTCTTCGTCGCTGCCGTCATCCGTCTGCTGCAAGATAGCAATACGTGTCGCATGTGGGATCCCGGGCACCAACTTGTCGGCGATAGCTCGTAGTAGTGCTATAAAGAGGCAATCAGTATCCGTCCCTGGCGTCCTGCCACGGATGACCAGGGTCGTGTCGAACGACAATGGTAGACAACGCACTTGACTTTCCGGTCCCATTGCGACCTACGAGCCCATAGCGCACCCCTGCTTTGAGACGCAGATGCGCATCAGAGATCAGTTCCCTCGCTTCAGCCCTGGCCTTTCGTTTCGATTTGAGGTCTGTTGTTGTGGCGGATTCGGCGTGGTTTTGTGGCGATGATACCGCGATGGTGATTCCTTCTACATCCACCTATAGTACTCATTAAACTATAATCAATTATACGTGCTCGAATGCTAATGAACAGGGGTCAGGGGCATCTACCTCGTTTGAGGCTTGATCGAGGATGTGGAAGCGGGTTTGCTTGCAGGTTGCGATTATTGTGGGATGCATGATATTTCCTGAGGTGAATAACAACGGTGAAGATAGAATAGGGACGTGAGAGTGAAATTTGTCAAACGGAATTGATTCCCTTGTGAGTGGTGAATGCAATGGCTCTGAAAATTGTCACTGGGTATACGACGCTCGTAAATATACTTCGTCCACGTAGTTCATGCAAGCAAGCAATGCACAATGTGGCTTCCGTCGCCAAGACTAAAACTCATTTATCATTGACTGACAAGATGATTCAGATCATTCCTCGAGGAGACAAAGCTTCACTGTTTTGGTCCTTTGAGTCAACTCGGTGTTGAATCATTCTCTGATGATGTCTCTCAAGACTATGGAAAATGCCGTCGGGGTCCGAAAGAGGAATAGCCGCAATTGGCTTTCGCCCCTTGACAGCCGAGGCATCGCTCTGAATATTCAACATGACTGGGACTCTCCTGCAGCGGTGATCTTCGGGTCTTCTTGTTCTTGTCATGCATGTTGTAGAGCATAGGCTGGGTAAGGAGAGGAAAGTTCGAGCGCAGTCCTATCTAGACCGAGTACCCGGAGAAACCAT